TCAAAGCTACTAAATTACTAGAATCAACATCTTATTCTTCTACTCTTCTTGTTCTTCTTCAAGATTGTCAAAATCTTGAATTCTTCTATTATCTTCATATTGCTCGCCATCTTCTTCCCCTCCTCTTCATGACCACTTTCATCTTCATCAATTAGGGATAGGATCGACTTGTAGTAGCCACACTTTTCCCTTCCTAATCGAGCTTGAACTTGAAGTATTCCTCCTTAAACCATAAGGATTCTCCCCAACTCCACTACCAACCGCAACATCACCCCAAGTGAAATCAGAGTCGCCTTCAAATACTTTTTCATCTTCACAATTTTCGAGGACTCCGGTCAGCCACTCATTAGCCTCATCAATATTGTCCAAAAGAATTGGATCAATTATATTGCGGTGGTTGTAGCGACACCTCAATGCTCTATTGTATTTTATGAACACTAGGTTATGGAGGCGCTTCAAGGTTAGTCGATTCCTCTTCTTTGTATGAATCTGCAAACAAGATGTGTCAACTAATTAGTAGGAGTTGGAAATTGAGATATAATTTACTTTATCTCAAAACACGAAATAATTCTTTTTATTTCTCACGTGTTCAAAAACACTCCAGTTCCTTTCACATCCGGATGAGCTACAAGTTAAACTTAGAACTTTGATGGCGAAAGTCTGTAAATCCGGAGTCTCTACACCATATTGGTCCCACCACTCAACTATAGAAGTCAGAAAAAATGTTCAAGAGTTAATAAGTATAAAAAATACATTAAAGTTAGAGCTATAAAATACAGAAACACTTGGTCACTTGGCGACTTCGTCTTTCTTTGTTTAATAGCAAGTCGGAGCTTAAAAAGTCCTTCAGCTGCCTGTAAATAGCAAGTTGATCTACTATATTTTTTTGCAAGTCTTCATCTGGGGTCAACTTGATAACAACCTGATGGAATCCTGTTCACACTTCTTTAGCCAATGAATTATTGCTGATCATAAAAGAGTGGCGGGTTCAGAATAAGTCCAGCTGCATGCAAAGGTCTATGAAGTCGCTCATTCCATCTTGCATCAATGATCTGAAAGACCTTTGCATATTTCTGCTCATCAGTGAATGATGCTTGAATAGCCTCCTTGGCCCTATCCATAGTTTGATAGAGGTAGCATATTGGTGGTTTTTGCTCCCCATCCACCAAACAGAGTACTTTAACCAAAGGGCCAGCAATTTTAAGAGCATGAAGGACATTATTCCAAAAAGAATAAGAAAGAATAATGCGTGCAACATCTTTCCCCGCACTTTCCTTTGCAAATTTACTCTTGCTCCATTCCTCTGAAGTGAACAACTTTCTCAAATTGGCTTTTTGCAAGTGAATACTATGCAAAGTCAAGAAAGCAGTGGCGAACCTTGTCTTGCCCGGTTTCACCAAATTTTTTTGCATGGTGAATCTTCTCATCATATTCAATAACAAGGGCCGCTAAGAAATATAAGAATGTACCTTAGCGCCCTGGCCAAAAACTGTAGAGAAGAGTTTTTCCTTGAAAATGTCCCCGAACATTAAGTTGATACAATGAGCCGCACATGGAGTCCAATAGACATTCTTGTACGCTCCTTCAATCATGCCACTCGCTTTCACATTTTAACTTGCATTATCAGTGACTACTTGAACAACTTTGCTTGGGCCAATCTTTTCAATGGTGTTCTGAAACAAGGTGAACATTTTGATGTGGTCAGTGGATGAGTCGCTAGCATCAATGGACTCGAGAAACAAACTTCCCCTGGAAGAATTCACCAACACATTAATAATCATTTTTTCAGTTCTTGCCGTCGAGTTATCCGTCATGATGGAGCAGCCATACTTGTTCCACACAACTTTATGCTCCTCAACAATTTTATTAGTCTCCTCCACTTCCTTGTTTTGGATAAGGACCCCTAATTTCATGATAAGTGGGAGGCTTCATTCCAGGTCCATATTGACCAACGGCCTCAATAAAGTCTCCAAAAGTGTCACAGTTGACACAATTGAAGGGGAGCCCAGCATCATAGACTCATCGTGCAAAAGCTCTAATTGCACCATCCCTCAAAATGTCTTTAGCAATTTTTTGTACATCTTTTCCACCGCTCTTTGCTTCCGACTTCTTTGGGAAATAGCAATCTATAGGACCTTTAGTCGATGATCCATGGCTTGAAGAGATTGCATCTCTTCCCCGTTTTGTTGGAAGTAACAATTCTTCAATATCATCATCATCATCATCATCAAGATTGGTCACCATTGGTTGATGACTCGTTTGATTTTTTTGTTCCTTCTTCTTCTCAACAAAATTCTTTATTTATTCCCTCACCTCCGGTGGGCATTTCGGACAACTTGTTACGTTTCTATCGCCACCAATAAGATGGTATTTAAAGCGATAAATTCCACCCGCTGTCGTCTTGTTACAAAACTTGCATACAACATTTGTATTCTTCTCATTAACTCTATCGCCATATTGCCAAGTCGGGTCTTTCTCTTTCGAACTTTGAGACATTTTGAAATCCCTATTAAGATATAAGAAAATACATAATCAAATAAACAGAAATACATATAATATATATAATAATTAATTTTATAAACTGAAATACACCTAAAAAATCAAATAAACTAAAATATAACAATATATATATATATATATATATATATGAATTCTCTAAAATGAAACAGAAATACATATAAAATTAATCAAATAAACTGAAAATATAACATATATATAATTAACTTTATATGCTGAGATATAATAATAAAATGAAATACATATAATAATTAATTTTATACGCTGAAATATACACTAAAATGAGAATGAAAAAGAAAGAAAGAAAAAAGGATACTTACTCGATTCTGGACCGGAGAAAGAAAGAAGAAGAAAGAAATTACCTGCGTCCTGGACTGGTCGAGCCGCGAGCGAGAAGGGAGAAGGGGTCGAGCTCGAACGAGAGAGAAAGGTTGTCGATGGAACCCTATGTTTTGTTTTGAGACCTCTGTTTTGTCGAAGAAGCTGTTTGTCGAAGGGGAGTGGGTCTTTTTTGTCGATTTAGGGTCTGTTTTGTATAATAGAAAAACAGACCCAATGATTTTTTTTTTCTGCGCTTTTTATACAGAAGCGATCGCTTCATCGCTTTCCTCACTTCATCGCTTCATCGATTTTTCCATTGAAGCATGCGCTTCCAAAGATCGAGTCGCCTCAGGCAGCTAGAAGCGACACTGGGTCGCGTCGCGTCGCTTCGCGCTTAAAGCAACGAAGCGACCGCTTTTCTAAACACTGAGCGAGACCAACAAAATGGCAATTAGATGTCTTTTTTATGACAAGATTTCGAATAGGGGAATCTATCGTAAAAAATTTCATCTAATTAGTAGTGATCCAAATGTCGCCTCTTGTCCTAAAGTTCCGCCGCATGTGAAGGAAGAAATGAAAGCATACAAAAAAGAAAGAGTTAAACACTCAAATACATCATGAACAAGAACAACTGCATAATCTTTGATGATGACGATGATGAAATAGAAGAAGGTGACGATGGTTCGTCGCTTCCATTAAAATCACAAAGGCGGGGAAAGATACAAACAATGTCTTCAAGTTGTGGATCTACTGGTAAGACCAGTATTTTTAAGAGCAAGAAGCGCAAAAAAGCGACAGGGGCTCGCCTCGCTTCGAAAGCGAAGTGCACGCTTCATTGAAGTGAGGCGCAATTCTTAAAAAACATAATGTAAACCTTGCAAAGAGAAAATATAAATAATCAAAAAGTTCAATTAAAAAACTTGAAAGTAGGCACCACAAAATCCTCCATAAACCATATGACAAGCAAAATCAAAACCACTAAATTACTAGAATCAACATCTTATTCTTCTACTCTACTTATTCTTCATCAATTAGGGATCGACTTGTAGTAGCCACACTTTTTCCCTTCCTATTTGAGCTTGAACTTGAAGTATTTCCCCTTAAACCATAAGGGTTCTCCCCAACTCCACTAGCCTCCGCAACATCACCCCGAGTGAAATTAGAGTCGCCTTCAAATACTTCTTCATCTTCACAATTTTCAAGAACTCCGGTTAGCCACTCATTAGCCTTATCAATATTGTTTAAAAGAATTGGATCAATTAGATTGCGATGGTTGTAGCGACGTCTCAATGCTTTATTGTACTTTATGAACACTAGATTATGGAGGCGCTTCAAGGTTAGTCGATTCCTCTTCTTTGTATGAATCTACAAACAAGATGCGTCGACTAATTAGTAAGAGTTACGACAATTGAGATATAGTTTACTTTATCTCAAAACACGAAATCATTCTTTTTAGTTCTCACATGTTGAAAAACTCTCCAGTTCCTTTCACATTCGGATGAACTACAAGTTAAACTTAGAACTTTGATGGCGGAAGTCTAAAAATCTAGAGTCTCTGCACCATATTGGTCCCACCACTCAAATATAGAAGTGAAAAAAAAATATTCAAGAGTTAATAAGTATAAAAAATACATTAAAAGTTAGAGATATAAAATATAGAAGCACTTGATCACCTGGCGACTTCGTCTTTCTTTGTTTAATAGCCAGTCCTAGCTTAAAAAGTCCTTCACCTGCCTTGTAAATAGCAAACCGATCTACTATCTTTTCTTCCAACTCTTCATCTTGGGTCAACTTAATAACACACCCGTTGAATCCCTTCCACACTTCTTTAGCCAGTGAATTATTCTCATACTGATCATAAAATAGTGACGGGTTCAGAATAAGTCCAGCTTCATGCAAAGGTCGATGAAGTTGCTCCGTCCATCTTGAATCAATGATCTAAAAGACCCTTGCATATTTCTGCTCATCAGCGAATGATGCTTGAATAACCTCCTTGACCCTATCCATAGCTTCATAGAGTTAGTCCATTGGTGGTTTTTGCTCCCCATCCACCAAACGGAGTACTCTAATCAAAGGGCCACCATTTTAAGAGCATGAAGGACATTATTCCAAAAAGAATAATGCGTGCAGCTACTTCCCCCCCCCCACCCCCCCCCCCAGCTTCCTTTGCAAATTTACTCTTGTTCCATTCCTCTGAAATGAACAACTTTCTCAAATTGGCTTTTTGCAAGTGGATATTATGCAAAGTCAAGAAAGCAGTGGCGAACCTTGTCTTGCCCGGTTTCACCAAAATTTTTTGCTTGGTGAATCTTCTCATCATATTCAATAACAAGGGCCGCTGAGCAATATAAGAATGTATCCTAACGCCCTGGCCAAAAGCTGTAGAAAATGATTTTTCCATGAAAATGTCCCCGAACATTAAGTTGATACAATGAACCGCACATGGAGTCCAATAGACATTCGGGTATGCTCCTCGCACCATACCACCAGCTTTAACATTTTCCACTCGCATAATCAGTGACCACTTGAACAACATTGCTTGGGACAATCTTTTCAATGGTGTTCTGAAACAAGGTGAACATCTTGATGTGGTCAGTGGACGCGTCGCTAGCATCAATCGACTTAAGAAACAAACTTCCCTTGGGAGAATTCACCAACACATTAATAATCATTTTTCTAGTTCTTGCGGTCGACTTATCCATCATAATGGAACATCCATATTTGTTCCACACAACTTTATGTTCCTCTACAATTTTATTGGTCTCCTCCACTTCTTTATTTAGATAAGGACCTCTGATTTTATGATAAGTGGGAGGCTTTATTCCAGGTCCATATTGACTAACAGCATCAATAAAGTCTCCAAAAGTGTCAGTATAGTTGACACAATTGAAGAGGAGCCCAGCATCACAGACCCATCGTGCAGAAGCTTTAACTTTTGAAGACTTTATTGAGGTCGTAGGCCAATATGGTCCAGGAATAAAACCTCCAACTTATCATGAAACTAGAGGTCCATATCTAAAAAAAAAGAGGTGGAAGAGACTAGCAAAATCGTGGAGGAGCACAAAGCAGAATGGAACTAGTTTGGTTTTTTCATTATGATGGATAAGTAGACGACAAGAAATGGAAAAATGATCATCAATATCTGGTGAATTCTCCTAAGGAAGCTTATTTCTTCAGTCCGTTGTTGCAAGCAACTCTTCTACTGATTCAACCAAAATGTACTCCTAGTTCAAGAGTACAATAGACTCTATTGGAGCAGAAAATGTTGTTTAAGTTGTTACGGACAACGCCAGCGAAAATGTTAAAGCTGGTGATTTGATGTCGGTAGCGTACACGCATATTTATTGGACTCCGTGTGCAGCACATTGCATTAATTTGATCTTCGGTGACATTTTGAAGGAAAGACTCTTCAGTTCAGTCTTTAATCAGGTAATTAGAGTGCATTCCTATATTGTTCAAAGGCCTTTGCTATTGAATTTGATGAAGAGATTCACTAAACAAAGAAGCTTGGTGAAACCTGCAAAGACAAGATTTGCTACCGCTTTCTTGACTTTGCATAGGATGTATGAGCAAAATAGCAATTTGAAGAAGTTGTTTGTTTCAGATGAGTACACTAACAGTGCTTATGTAAGGGAAGATCGAGGGAGAGAATCTGCAGATGTTATGCTTTCTACTGCATTCTGGAATAATGTGGTTCATGCATTGAAGATTGGTGGTCCTTTAGTTAAAGTTCTTCGTTTGGTGGATGGGGAGCAAAGACCACCAATGGCTACCTTTACGAAGCAATGGATAGGGCAAGGAGGCTATTCGAGACTATTTTAGTGATTAAAAAAAATATAAAAGCGTCTTTGAGATCATAGATAAAAGATGGACATAATAAATTCATCGCCCTTTGCATGCAGTTGGACTTGTTTTGAACCCGGAACTGTTTTATGACAATGAAGAGAGGATTATAGGAGATGAAGAATTGTGGAATGAAGACATTGAATGTATTGAGAAGTTGATACAAGAATCCGTGCAAGATAAAGTAACATAGCAATTTAGTACTTATAGGAATGTTGAGCAACTTTTTGGAAAAAACATGGCTATTAGACAAAGAAAGATGAAGTCTTCAGGTGAGCGAGTGCTTATATCTTGCTTTATAGTTAATAAGTTATTTCTTTATAAATATTATGTTTTGAATATTTATTCTACTTCTTCAGTTGAATGGTGGAAGCAATACAACCATTCCACTCCAAAATTACAAAAGTTTGCCATCAAAGATCCAAGTCTAACATGTAGCTCATCCGGGTGTGAAAGGAGTTGAAGCGTGTTTGAACATGTAAGAACTAAGAAGAAAGATTTAGTATATTGAGATAATTAAATTATATCTCAATTGTCCTAATCTTAGTAATGATTTATTATTTGCAAATTCATACCAAAAAGAGGAACAAACTAACCTTGAAGCGTCTCAATGATCTAGTCTTCATTAAGTACAATGAACATTGAGGCGTCGTTACAACACTCGCAATATAATTGATCCAATTAGTTTGGACAACATCGATGATGCTAATGAATGGCTAACTAGAGTTCCGAAAGATCATACAGTCCTGAAAGATCATGCAGATGAAGAAGTATTTGAGGAACTTGTAATTTCACTTGGGGTGATGTTGCGGAGGCACGTGAAATTGGGGAGAGGATTTATGGTTTGTGGGGGAGTACTTCAACTTCAAGCTCACAGAGGAAGGGAAAAGAAGCAGCTACTTTGTCCCTAGTTGATGAAGAAGAAGAAGTAGAAGAAGATGACGAGCAATATAATACTGATAGTGGAATACAAGAATTTGACAATCTTGTAGAAGAATATGATGCTCATTTTGTGCTTCAATTGATGATACTCTTTAGTTTTTACATTGAAGTATTGAACATTTGCTTACAGTTACATGTGTTGTCTATGCAGTATTTATTTTTAATTTTTTTTAAAATTCCGCTTCACTTCAAAAAACCGAGTGCTTTCGCTTCTCGCTTTAAGCGAAAAGGGGCTTATCGCTTTTCCTCGCTTCATGCTCTTCACAACACTGGAAGGGACAACATATCAGTACCATCAAACAGAAACCAAAGAAATAATAACAGCATCATAAAACTAGAACATAGTTGAAATGCAATAACAAAACCAGAAAATAAGGCTCGATGCTATGAAAAATGGAAGGATAGTGTGAACACAGCATTAACCACTATCAGTCCAAGACAAACCCTATCAAACTAGCTTCACCCCCGGACTCAACTACCTCCTAACCTACAACCCTAATGCTCGACCTCCACACCTTCCTATCAAAATTTATGACAAAAACAATAAAAAAATATGACATTACTTTTTTTGCAATGAAATTATTTCATTAGATTTTTCCTTGCATTGCAAAGATAACGTGCAATAACTCACTAAACTTTTTTTCTTTCTCTGGACTGGGGGATGAAAAGTGAGGCAAATGCTCAAGCTACATTGAGAAACATCAAGGTTACCAACTATGTAAAATGCAATCAAGAGATCAATGATTGGACCTAGTGTTGGCGAGGGGAACATTGAGACTAAATGAGAAAAAAATGTAAATGATACTCCTGAAGCTTACAAGTAAAGAATCTCGCCCGCCTTGACTGTAACTTCAAATGGTCTTGGTCCATCAAAATATAAGGGAAACTTGGCCTTTTTCTTCTCCTTCAACTCAGGTGAAGGGTATGGATTAACACTGCACCATGGCACATACCTCACTGGTTCCTCCAGTTCCAAAGAGAATTCCCCGGTATCCTATAATACCAGAAAGCAGCAGAACACATATCAGCACAGTAGAACAGTACATTGTACTGAAATTCAAGTTTCCTGAAACAAATTATAACCATTGCAGCTCATCAACATATACATCACAAAACACTACAAATGACTCCTACAACTCATATAGAAAACCCAATAAAACTACAAGTACATAATACATGAAAGAAAAACGGGTACCTGAACATTGGGATACTGCTATAACACCGCCATAACATTGCTAATTTATGAGTAACGGGGTAAGTTTTCTTCTATTTCCAAGAATGAATAAAGGTCACAATTAGGATTGCTTTAAGCCACTTGATCTTCTAAGCTACTTGTTATAACTCAATATACATATACCACACATTTCTTCTGTGCCTTTTTATATGATACTCTTTTTTTAGGTCCACCACCCCCCCCCCCCCCCCAAAAAAAAAGATTTTGAGAACTTTCTATATTTGGAAAAAGTTCTTCAACTTTATAATTTTTCATTGCAACCCATCAACACATATACATCATAAAGGGCTAGAAAGTCATACTATCTTACAATTCACATATAAAAATCCACCAAAACTTCACTTCAACTACATAACATATGAATACGTTAAAGGACAGGACACTATACTGTTTCGTTCTCCAAAATTAATGACCACCAAATTGAACTTCCATGCCGAACCATCAACACATATACATCACAAAGTGCTATAATCGGAACAAACATCTAATTCATATATAAAAACCCAACATATTTATAAGAAATTAATACAAGAAAGAAAAGAATGTTGAACAAATTGCTAATTCTTCGGAAACCCATCAACACATATACACCATTTGTCTAGAAATTATACCATGTATGTAGAAAATTATGCCGCATATATAGATCAATAATTTTGAACATCCTTAATTAAATTCCTAACTTGCCACTGAACGCACTCATTTCCTAGAATTTCACACATAAAAACTGAACCAAACATCAAGCACATAACTTACGAGCACATTAAAGAATATATGGAACCTGGGAGTAGCGGTAATTGGCAGCAGGATACGGACAAATATACATCCTGTGAACATCAGTAGGAGGAAGAAGCAAAAAATGCTTCTCCCCAGAAACAACAGCATATATGTTCTCATAATGATCCTTATGAAATGAAGTTTCAGACAAATCATTGCCAATCCAAAGGTTCACAGCTTCAGGCAAACACCCAAGAGCCTCAGAAGCCCAAGTAAAATCCGGATCACAATCGTGACTCAAAGGCCCATACTCACTACGAAAACAATCATTTTGCTGCTGCAGATAACCCACACAATTCGGGTCCGATTCTAAGACCCGCGTCAAAGCATCAGGAAAAGGGATACGTTGAACTTCAGCAGAGGCGAAGCAAGTAGTGGAAGTAGTGGGGTGTGGGGTAAGTGCATCAGCTTTGCCTGTAGGGGTGAGATGAAGGGAAACGGAGGAATAAGAGAGAGTATTGAGGAGATAAGGGGTGGAATGCCAGAGAGTGGTGGCTGGCCAGTGGTTTATGGCGTTGGAAATGAGGCAGGGTTTGTTGGGGGAGACGTAGTCGCGGAGGAATTGGAGGGGGGTGGGTGGGGAAGAGAGTTGGTCGATATGGGTGCTGGAGCCTAGGCTTAGATCTCGAACTTCTTGCCAGAGGTTTTCGATGGGTTCTTTCATGGCTGTGCTTAAACCCTCACCAATGTGAAATGTCTGCTATATTGCTATTTTCAGATTGTTTTTTTTAGTCTAGTTTTTTAGGCTATTTGGTAAAGATTATAAAAATATTAACAGAATCAGGATACTTATTAAATAATACAAAAGATTAGCAGTAATTAATGATGGCATTAAAATATTTATATAGCATATTTCATTGAGGTTTTGACACAGTTACCCACAAAAACAAAATTATTTACTCTTGTCTACCCATTTGTTTTCCTACCCATAAACTAATTACATTTACTACCCATAGTAGGTTTTGTGGGGAATTTTTTCTTTATTCTCCAATTCTTTTTTATTTCTATGCTTATTTTCTTTTCTTTTTTCTTTTCTTTTCTTTTCTCCTTTTCTTTTTTCTCGTTTTCTTCTTATTTTTTTCTTTTTTTCTTTTCTAATTTCATTTAACTTCTTTTTTTATATTCTTTTTCTCTTCATAATCTAATTTCATTTACTGTTTTTACTATTTTTTTATTATTCTTTTTTTTATATTATTACTAAAGAAAAATCAAACTGTGTACCAATTAAATATAGCTAATACAACCAAAAAAATATTAACTAACATATGATATCAGTATAGTATATAGCTATACCAACAGGGTATACAATTGTATGCAATGAATTAAAAATTTTGATTTAATTATTAAACTAAAATAATATCAGTTGTCAATAAAAAATTTAAAAAATTCTAAAAGGATCTAATTGTAAGAGTATACCGTTACATCATATAGCATACTATAATTTTTATTTTATTTTTTTGCATTTTCAATTTGCCCCTCACGCTGGGTAAAAGCTTAAAACAAATTAAAAGGGAAAAGGCAAGTGAATTTACGGGTAATAAGTATACTATTATAGTATATTGTATACTATTATAGCATATTTTTACATTATCTTGCATGTTATTACAGTATACCATAACAATATATTGTATACTATAATAGTATATTGTTGCAGTATAACTATATACTCCTATAGTATATTAGTAACTGTAGCGGTATATTGTTTTGTAAACTATAATAGTGTACTGTTGCAGTATAGCTATATACTCCTACAGCATATTGTATACCGTAGCGGTATATTGTAGTTGTGTTCTTCTTCGATTTTCAACTGAAAATTTCGATCTCAATCACCTCAAATCAGGTCCAAATGCTATCAAATTTCAGTATGAACTTCTAGAAGGTACTATAAGTAATATTTACCAGCACCCACTTTGAATCAAACAAAAAATCTTTAAAAATAAAATTGAGCTTCAAGCCCGACAATGGTGGATATTCAAATACACACAAAAAATTAGATTTGGGATGTAATCTGCTCTTGTACTTAATGAAGTATCCAAACCATGATTTTGTAAGTTTTGTCCACATGTAATTCTGATCGCATGGTTCGTGGAAACTACTCAATTAAAGAAAGGAGGAAGGGACCAGAGCCTAATTCAATTTTTTCAAATAACCTCGAATGCGGTTATCAGCTGGTCACCTTCCAATGTATGCTAAAATTCTCTTGTACATAACAGTGATTATTCAGAGAGAATCTATATCCAATCTTTATTTTAGTAAAGCTAAGCTTTTTATGAATGAAGCCTTGACTCTAGGAACAACTAGCGGGTAAACAGTTTGGGGAGTATGGGTAGGAGTAGCAAATAGTTTGAGTCTGGGCATTAAAGGGTAAATAGTTTGAAATTAATAGGTATAAAGTGAGATTTTCTCTATTTCATTCGATTCGAATCAGCAAGAATGAAGCTGCTTAAAAAGGCAGCCCTAGTATTTAGAGCTCGTTTGGATGGGCTTGTTGTAAATGATTTTTAAGCCAAAAGCCATAATTTAGGAATTCTACCTTTTGGCTTGGCTTGTTTTTGTCATTTTAGCTTAAAATCAAGTGCTTAAAAGCACTTTTTTACTTTATTCAAACACTACAAAATGGCTTAAAAGCTATTTTGGCTTAAAAGCACTTACAATAAGTAAATCCAAACGGGCTCTTAATATCTTTCCCCATTTTTTCTCTCCATTCCATGGTATGTTTTGTGTTTTCGTTGGAAACCAATCCATTCCATAACATATTTTTTCTAATGTAGCGAAATTATACATCTTTATATTCTGATGAAATAAAAAGTACATATATTTCATTAAAAAAATATAATGCATGTTTGGTATATATACATTATAAATCATGTATTTTTTTTAGGAAAAATCATGTATATATGCATCTGTTATTTATATTTAAATAGATATTATTAATATACCATTTATATTTGGCACTAATATAACATGCATATTTGTATAAATTATCCGTATATAAACAGTATATGTGACATATTTTTTTCTATACACATTTTAGTGGCGCGTTAATATTTTAGATTAAATTTTATGAAAGGTATTTGCTAGCAATATACTTTGAATAATATCAATACAATAATGTATTGTGATGTATATATATAAGTTATATATGTGATATAAAAATACATTAAAAAAATATATGACATATTAATGGAATATTTACATTATAAATTATCATAATATAATATACTTGAAATATATCAAAGGTATATTTTGAGTAAAAATAAAATTGTACACAAAAAAGTTTAAAACTCAAAAAAATAGAAAAGCTAAAATTTCTCATTGTGTAGAGGAAACTATTTTTGAGATATTATTCTTTCTGAATTTTTATCTGTATTTGGGTAAATGTTATTTATTTCAGAGAAAAAAGAAATTATGGAAGAGTGAGGGAAAAGGAAATGGAGTAAAAAGTGTATTAATGTAGAGGGATCCTTAGTTAATGGAGTTATCAACGTGAAAGTTTAAAAAGGTTAAAAAAAATATGCCGTTTTGGAATAAACAAAGTCTACTATCATTTATGAGAATAATTTTTAAAAAGGGAACAACTATGTAAAAATCTCTTTTGTTTGTTTTTGTTGTTTGTTTATAACTATAAAATTAAAATTCACATAGTTTCAACAAAAAAAAAATGACATATTTAGATAACTTAAACCCTTTGGTGAATGGAAATATTGGTTTTTTCTTCACTGTATCGTCCAGAAATCTTAAAAAATGTGTGCTTTTGAAAAAAAAAGAAATACCATTTTTACAACTTACAACTTAAGGACCAAAATAAATAAAGTGAAAATAAAGAATAGTTCTCTGAATTTTAGGCAAATAGAACAGCAAAAAGAGACCTAAAACTCATTTCAGCCCATGTTATATAAAGGTAAAGGTGAGAAAATATGTTTGCATATTCTCTACTTGTTTAGCATTCATCAGCTGAAAGCACTTTTGGTATAAGAGTACAGGAGCTCCTAATTCCTCCTCTCTCATCTAAGTTTTCTCGCTTCTTCGTCTTTCATCTTGCTCTATTTCGGTCGATTTATGCGGTGGTGATTCTCCGCTTTCATCACAATATCAAAGTTCGACTCTTCTTTTTCTTCATGCAATTAGTTGTTTCTCCTCATCAATTTTTTTTTTTTTTTTGTTCTTCTCATGGCTGTTGTTGATCAACTGGATGCGATCGTTGTTGATACAAGTGTTGCCGCTGCTGCGAGTAGCGGAGTTGATCCGAGTGATCCTCTCTATTTGCATTCGTCTGATAATCCGGTTGTTTTACTTTTTGTAGTGCCTTTCAATGGCATTGGCTATCGATCCTGAAGATCAAGTGTATTGCAAGCTTTATCCATAACGAACAAATTAAGTTTCATCAATAGCGAGTGTAAACGTCCAGATCCTCAATCTCCTTAGCTTCATCATTGGGAACAATGTGATGATAGGGTAACTTCATGAATTTTAAATAATTTTTTCGAAGATATCGCGGACAATACGTCAATGAATTTGTGAGTTGTGTGAATAGAATTGAAAGATCGCTATGAACAAACTAATGGTGCCAGTTTGTATCACATTCAGAAAGAAATAAATGATTTGTCTGAGGGAATCCTTGACATCAACAACTATGACACTAAATTGAAGAAGCTTTTATAAAGAATTGAACACTTTAAGTAAGAAAATACAATACAATGGTCGTTGTACATGCAGGCCAAGGAGAAAATACACAAAGCCGAACAGGATCACTACAACATTTTAAGTTTTTAGCCACCCCTACAAAGTGTTGCCTAAAGTATCAAAAACGGTGGCATTTGATCAAAGGCCACATTTTTCGACATTAAGCAACGTTTTTTGGGGGTGGCCTAAAGTACCGTAACCTTTTCCCTAAGGCCACACTTTTAAAGTGTTGATTTAAAAGCCACGCTTTAAAAGTGTGGCCGATAAGGTACAAAAGTGACGCTTGAAGTACCTCATATGGCAACGTTTTCCATGGCCTAAAGCTACACTTTTGAAGTGTAGCTTTGTTACCTTATAGGCCACACTTTTGGAGCGTGGCTTGTAAAGCAAAAATTTTGAAGCATCGTTTTTGTCATTTTACATGCCACTTTACTACTCTCTATGGCCACATTTTGAAGTGTGGCAATTGTCAATTTTTTTTTCAAAATATTTATGAGCAAACTAATAATAATTTCATATGCTTGCAATAAATCTCAAAAAAGAAACATATTTTCTGTATATCCATACTAATAAAGTAATGTTCCAATATACACACAAGCCAGCAACTCTACAAAAATAAATGCATTCATGTAGTCTTATGACTAATAAATATCACATGTTTCAAAAAGTCTTCATCATTCACTTCAAAAAATCAAATTGAGTATTAGCTACCATTTCCAATTGCATCACCTGCATTTTCCTACACATTCAAAATTATAGTAAATATTAGAAAGAAACCAATATATTAGTATGCACTGGTTAAAGCAATATTCGACTTAGTAGGAACTTATAAAAATATGACAAAAACTACAATGTAAACGGACAACTTTATTTTTTGGGTTAAGATATCCATTTCATTACTAAAATAAGTAGATGTGATTACAAGTAGCTTCATTTACAAACTTCTTTAACTATGTATGGTGTTTATGAAGTCAAATGCATTACTAACAACATCAACATCTTCAACGGGAAAAGACATAAATCAAACTTGCAAAAGAGCCCATAACAGAGAAAGGAATTAATTCTTTAAATGATCCTCTAAGTTATGAAAATAACCCACTAAAGTCACTTTTAAATTTTTCTTACCTATAAATTCATCTATCTATAGATTTGTATCTTAGAAACTAAATAGGGGACTTTACATAACTGTCACAGTTTAAAAGAAATATAACAAATTTTTAGCATTAAATTCAATATTACAGATATGGCAGGAAAATATTTATNTCAGTTCTTCTAGCCTCCTAAGAACCGCAGAATCAGCATCCGGCCCACCCCGTTCCGGCTGTACTGGGGTTGGATTGATGATTGCAGCTGCACGGGGCTCCTGGACCCGGCTCTGGAGCTGAGCTATAGCCGATTGCTGGGCTTGCAGCATGTCAAAAATCATTTTAAGGTTGATAGTCTCTTCGCCGACTGCCTGGGCCCTCGAATCGTCCTCTCCCTGGACGCTATGCGATGATCCGGAGGCCTGATCAGTGTTGAGCGCCATCCGGGAACCGGCATCTATCGGGTTTTCGAGCCCGGGCATTCCATTGTTTCCCGTCTGCTGTTCAAGTTCGTTGTTAACTGATTGTGCCATTCTATGAGTTGGTAATTTGAATGTAAGATGGACTCTTTTGCAAAGAACCAGCGTATTGTGATGCGTCAAGAAAGAGTATCAAAGAGCTCACCAATATCCTTAGCCCCACGGTGGGCGCCAAACTGTTTACCCTCGAATCCGGATAACAATTGAATTTATATGGGGTTTTAAGGATCCGTGAACTAAAAGATACAAAAGGTTTTTAGGTTAAGGAAAATAAAGATAAAGACTCAACAATTGCTGTTAAAGTAAATAATCGCAGAATATAATATTGCTTAGAACAATTGTGCTTGATGATCCACAAGAATTTAGAGAGATACCCATTTATACATTCTGATTAAGGGTAAAAATAAGGTAGGTAAATTGATTACATCGTGGATCCCTGTAATTACGCCTTAATGGCCTGAAGTGGTTGAGAAAATCACGTTTGGGCGAGATATCCGGCGACGCTTGGTTATCCGTTACGAGCCCGGCTTCCGACCTTGTGTGTTTCTCCATCCGGTGGTGATTCCTTTCGAGCTCTGTAACGGTCTCGAAATGACTCGACCTCGGTTGTAGACGTGGCCGTCGTTCTACCTTGCATCCAGGTCGGGTTCGATGGCCCCGACTTGCTCCGGACCGGATCCAACCCGGTCGGGCTCAAAAAAAAAGGTATCACCCAATACACATTTAAACTTATCTTTTAAAAGAAGAAGAAAAAAAAAACTAACTGGTAGGATTAGATTCGACTCCAGTTCAATTGATTTTAGAAAAAAATCATTGAACGCTTCTAGTCCTAAGACTTAGCCAAATATGGTTGTGTACAAAAGAGAATTTTTTGCTAGGGGTAAATTCTCCAAGTCAATTTACTTCTCTACAGAGTAAAAAGACAGTGGCCATTATCTCGCGATATTTTTAACTAAATAACTCCTCCTACGAGACGACAGTGGCCATTATATCGCGATATTTTTAACTAAATAACTCCTCCCTACGAGAGGATAGATTTTTAACAATTACTATCTCTGCTTCTGTTCTCTTTCTCCTCTTTCTCTCACATTTGTTCAGAAGAAATGGTGTAATTTTGCTTTATAGAAGGTTTAGGTTAAAGATTGGTTGCGGCGACGGCGGCGGTAACGGTGAAGAAGAAGAACAGAGACAAAATGGACGGGCAAGTAACTTTGACTAAACATCTAGCTTGAGGTGTAAATGCATGGAATTGAAGTGAATTGGGAACAGAGACTTGTTGAAACTGAAAAGGCCGTAAATGTAAGTGCTTTTAAGCGATACTGCGAGTCATTAATGTGTCGAAGAGTAGGCTTTTTTGGTTATAGGATTTGATTGAAGAGGGAATTGATGAAGCTGTGTTATATTTACACTCTCTGTCTAAATGAAGGCACTGTCTGCAGTTGTTGAGGCTTTAATTGTTTGCTTCCGAGTTAATTGTTCCAAACAACTTGCGTACAAGACATGCTTTGGATCAGCTTTTTCTCGCAATAATTTCTCTCTTTGTAAATTTAAGTATAATACATTTGCTTTTTCTGTGGTCTCCATTTTTACTTTCCGTAAATGAGGTTGTGTTCTTATCCAGTTTTTCTTAATTACCGCATTTAAGTAGTGATAGGCACACATCGTCATAGGCGCACAGGAATTAATTCTGAAACTGCGATTCTCTGATCATCAAAAAATACAAAAGAGGATTTGCATCAAACAAATTAATTTAATTGTAAAAAAAAAAAAGTTATAGTAATGTGTTCTTTTATTGTTGAAATGTGTAAAGTTTATATAAAAAGCACATTAGATGTATTTACTAGGTGGGTGTAAACATTGAGCCAGAATACTTTTTGGTGTAGGTTTATTTCTGTAATTATCTTCTTTTGCTTGAATTTGTTCCTGACATGTATTATTTTTGGTACGTAGAAGCTGCTGAAGAAGTAGGAGTTGTTTCAATATTGGCATTTGTAGGTATTACCAAAAGAAATCATCTATAAGAAGGAAGTAGCTTTTGTAGTGAAATGGAGGAGGCGATAGAGAGGTGTGTGGACTCTCAGCTATGGCATGCCTGTGCAGGAAGCATGGTGCAAATTCCTCCATTAAACTCCAAGGTTTTTTATTTCCCACAAGGCCATGCTGAGCATACATTTACAGATGTTGATTTCACTGCTCTGCCGAGAATTCCTGCTATGATTCTATGCAGGGTCGATGCTGTAAAATTCTTAGCTGATCCTGAAACCGATGAGATTTATGCCAAGATTAGGCTTATTCCGGTTGAAAACAAGGACCATGACTTTGAAAATGACACTGTTTTAGGAAGCAGTGTGGTTGAAACAACTGAGAAGCCTAGTTCGTTCGCCAAGACATTGACTCAATCGGATGCAAATAACGGGGGTGGTTTTTCAGTGCCTAGATACTGTGCAGAGACAATTTTCCCGAGGTTGGATTTTACAGCTGATCCTCCTGTCCAGACTGTGATCGCTAAGGATGTTCATGGTGCAATCTGGAAGTTCAGGCACATCTATAGGGGCACACCACGGAGGCATTTGTTGACAACTGGTTGGAGTTCATTTGTGAATCAGAAGAAGCTGGTTTCAGGGGACTCTGTTGTGTTTCTGAGGGCAGAAAATGGTGATCTTTGTGTTGGAATTCGCAGGGTAAAGCGGGATGGTATTGGTGGGATGGAAACCCAGTCAGGGTGGAACTCTGCTGCTGGCAATTATGGTGGATTTTATGCATTTCTGAAGGAAGACGAGAACAATATAATGAGAAGTGGTAGTAACGGGAATCTGAATTCTTCTGGTGGGAGATTTAGAGATAAGGGACAAGTGAGCCCTGAATCAGTTGTTAAGGCTGCATATCTTGCTGCTAGTAGCCAGCCTTTTGAAATTGTTTATTACCCTCGTGCAAGTTCTCCTGAATTTTGTGTTAGGGCGTCTTCTGTGAATGCTGCAATGAACGTTCAATGGTGCTCAGGGATGAGGTTCAAAATGGCTTTTGAAACCGAGGATTCTTCTCGGATCAGCTGGTTCACGGGAAGTATATCATTGGTTCAGGTTGCTGACCCCATCCGCTGGCCTCATTCACCTTGGCGGCTTCTTCAGGTAATTCAGCCACTTTCAGTTTTCTATCTGGACCAATACATAACTGTTTATTAATGTCAATTTGCCATTATTCTATATTAATATTCCTACTTAACAATGGGATGGAAGAAGTAATTTTGTGTGTATAATGGTTAAGCCGTTAAGCAACCAATGAAAACATAATGGTAATGCTATGATCGTTCTGTATGCTGAGCAGTACGATTAAAACATTCCGTTCCCTGCTAGGTGTTACGATTATTTTCTGTCCTTTTCCCCATTTCTCCAATTCCTGGGTGGGAGATTGTTGGAGATCTACACAAGACATGTTATATAGTAGCAGCACGAGAAAATTGACAGAAGTGCCAACTATGACATGTAAAAGTGGTTGCTGCATTCCTTTCATCTCTTAGTAGTGAGTTCCAGGTTTATCATATTCTATTGGGACTACTTTAGATGTATGAAATTATTTCTGTAATTGTATTGAATGTTCTGTAATCGAATTTGAAGTGCTTTTGTATCTCCAGTTAACATTTAGTTGTAGTTGATTGGTTTATAAAATTCTTTTGTTATATACTGCAGGTGACATGGGATGAACCAGATTTACTGCAAAATGTAAAAAAAGTCAGCCCATGGCTTGTCAAATTGGTCTCTAATATGCCCGTCATTCACTTATCACCGCCAAGGAAAAAGCTGTGTTTACCGCAAGATTTTGCACTCGACAGTCAATTTCCATTACCTTCATTTTGGGGCAACCCCCTCAGGTCCAGCAGTCCTTTTTGTTGTGTATCTGACAACATCACTGCAGGCATACAGGGAGCCAGGCATGCTCAGTTTGGAGTACCTTTATTGGATCTCCAACTTAGCAAAAAATTGCAGTCGGGACTGCTACCACTCGATGCTGATTCTAGAATTCCTAATAAGGTCCAAAAAGAGAGGAATGAAAATATATCTTGCTTGCTTACCATGGGTAGTTCTAGTCAGAAAGCCGATAATTTGAAAACACCTCGGTTTTTACTCTTTGGCCAACCGATTCTCACAGAGCAGCAAATGTCAGCTGAACTTGGCATGAGTAGTGGTCAGTGCAAAGTATTCCTAGATACGGAGGATGTAGGACATGGCCTTGATATCTCAGTTTTAGGATCATACGAAGAGCTGTATAAAAGACTTGCAGACATGTTTGGGATAGAAAGATTAGATATGATGACACGTCTACTCTATATAGATGCAACAGGTGCATCTAGACAAATTGGAGATGAACCATTCAGGTGCTTCCACTACTTTCTATTCTTGAATTTATTCAGTAAAAAGTTCTTATCCTCGGGCTTGTAATGCAGTGACTTGGTGAAGACTGCAAAAAGACTGACAATTCTGAACAACAGTGCTGCAAGGTAATAATTGAATACTTCCTTTAGCGACTCTTGTCTTTGTATCAAACCACCACCAGAACTAAATCATTCTACCTTGAAAGGTTTGTAGATAATCTCGAGAATAATTGTGCAGTTTTCTCTACTAGGGGGAATTCGGATTAATGCCTAAAACCGTGTATTTCAGGAAATGGCTCACTCATCTGCCAACTGCTGAAGGTTGTCTAGATTCTTCAAACCAGGCAGGATCCCTTAGCATCTTTGCGTAAATTACCTTTTATTATCTCTGCTTGTTTCCAAGAAATCATAGACACTAGTAATGTAACATGGATATGTTTTAAGGATGTCTCCGTTTTCTTTATGTTTGAAATAATGTAACAAAGTTCTTGCTAAGCTGTAACCACATGCTTGAAAGTGGTATTATCAAAGACAACAAAATTTATTCATGTGAGGACTGTTATATGTATTTCTTCCACATCACTATTCTTGTCTTCTGATGATATGCTTGCCATTACCAATTTTAAATAACAAAACAGACTGGGAATCTAGAGCTTTCTTCTGCTTTGCATGATGCTGATCGGTGAGTGGTGTCATTTATCTGGATGGTCAAATGTGGTAGAAAACATGCCACAAGAATTCAACGGCAATGCTTAATGTGTCGTGTACTGTGTATTCTTGCTGCAATATTCCGGTGGAACTGCAATCCATATATATGAAACTCGAAATTGTGTTGTCCCCAAGTTTCAATATTTCCATTGTCATCTTCTGTTGATTATAGTAAACTGCCAAAGCAAGTTCTAGTTAGGTTCCTTGCATCAAATTGCCCAGTAAGGCGAAAACATAAAGGAAATGGATTGACATACAGGATTATTCGCCTCTGATCCATTTTGGGGCAACCTCTTTCTGGAAATACTCGCTTCGTCTCAAATTATCTGTTGCAGTTTCTAAAAATTCTTATCTCAAATTATTTGTCATTTTAGAAGTTCAAGATAATTAATTATTTTTTGTAGTAATTGTTCTCGAAGAAGGAGATGGTACTTGAATAGAATAAATATTCAATGAAGATAGATTATATCTTAGGACATAGATAAGGGTAAAACAGATAAAAGTTCCATCTAAATAATATTTCTTAAGGGCCGCGTAAAGAAGGGGAGCCTTGGGGTAACTAGTAAAGTTGTTGTCATGTGACCAGGAGGTCACAGGTTGAGCCGTGAAAATAGTCTCTTGTAGAAATGCAGCGTAAGATTGCGTACAATAGACTTGGGGTCCGGCCCCCGAGCACAGCTAGAACTTAGTGCACCGGATTGTCCTTTTAAGTGGTCGTATAAAAGAGAAATAGACAAATAATTTGGGATGGAGGGAGTATATTTTAGCAATTTAATTTTGTGAGGCCAGCAGCATCCAGCAAGAATAATTTTGTTTCCACTCAGTTTTGTTTTTTGGTAGAGAATATAGAAGAGAGAAGAGGAGGTCGACCAAGGGCATTATTGTCATTTCACAAAAAATAACTGCATTGTTTGCTTGTACAGTAGGCTCAAAAGCTTGGTTGTAGCCTATGAGTTCCTAATGACCGAAAAAAAACAAAAAAAAGACGTGGCCCTAAGCTATTGAATTCTTCAGGTTGACCCCATTTCCCATTCAATCTTAACTTGCTTTTTTGAATAAGTAGGGGGACTTTACATAACTGTCACAGTTTAAAAGAAATATAACAAATTTTTAGCATTAAATTCAATATTACAGATATGGCAGGAAAATATTTATATTTGTAGCACACAGTTCCATTAAAATAGAAATATTAACTATTAATCCCTAAACATAAGAAATTTGAATGGAAAGTTAATAATTATTTGTACAAAAATCATGTCTTTTTCTCTCTCTTTATCTATTAGCTTTCCTTCTTTTTCTTCATCTTCTTAGTTTTGTTTTCTACCGTAAGCCAATATATTTTTTAAATTTGTTCCATTCATTTTATTTTTAGTTATCTTTCTTAAGTTTTTCTCTTACTTCTTTCTTCCTTTCTTAATATAAAGCTCTTATTTCGATAATAATATACGTTAATATATACAATACATATATATAAAAATATACTTTGAATTAACACATATAAAATATACAAAACAAATACATAAAAAAATACATCTTCAATTAAGATGACACTTAGACATGTGAAATATACATAAAAATATATATCTTAAATTTAATTAAAATAATATATATATATATATATATATATATATATATATATATATATAATGACACTTGCCATATAAAATATAATATACATTAAAAATACCGCTTAAAATAAGATAGCACTTCACAAATAAATATACAAAAAATATATACATAAATATACATTTTGAATTAAAGTGATACCTGATATACAGAGTATAAAAGATGTATAAATCAATACATCTTGATTTAGGTGGCATTGAGATATGCAGCAGCTTTTCAAAATATGGAGTGAAGAAGATGAATGTTGTAAAGAGAAAATGAAGATGGACAAAAAAAAAAAAGTACTTCCCGTGATTAGTGAGTGAGTTAACTTATTAGATGTTGAGCTTAATTTTTATAATATGCCATTAACGAAAAAAAAGTGCTCTTTATGGAATAAACAATAAATGGTGCTATTTTTATAAATAATAGTTAAAAAAGGATTATGCATGTAAAAAACTCTAACTATAACTAGTATTACATTTTCGTTTGTTTGAAAGTAGATTACTTCTTCGTTCTCACTTTTACAGTTTAAAGTTTTTTTTTTCAATAAGTATTATTAAATAGAAAAATTATCTGATGGTAACATATATTTATATATAATAATTATATTATCTCCTTAAGAAAAATAATTTTGTTTGTTTTATTTACTGAATATTTTTGGTAAAGAGTATTAAAAAGAAGTGGCAATAATTTTTGTAGATTTTTATTCAAATGTTCTTATATTAGTACCAATTGATATCATTTTATACAAATTCTCATTACATTGTAATTTCAATTGGAACACTTTATAAATCAGGAAAAAATATATTTAAGAATAAAATATAGTTTCAAGTACCTTTTTTTTTAAAAGATATTGAAATTTGTTCAAATTATATAAAAATAATTCCCTTATAAAACATGATATGAGAATAATCTAAACAAAAAATTAAGACAACTAATTTGGGGTATTATTTTTCTTTATTATATTAGGCAGAATGGGAAGTATCATTGTGTATGATTATACTTCTCCCTCTATGATCAAAGTTGGTTGGGTATTTCCTCTGTTTTTAATAAGGAATTCAATAAATTTCAAAATATATAAATATAAAATTAACTATTTCTATAAAATGCACAACAAATAATTATAGTAAATATGATGACCCGGCCAGTCGTCTCATGAGTTACCGCTCCGTTTTTCCCATTTCTGCTTCATTATGCTTCGTTATCCGTATTTTGTGGTATCGGGTTGGTCGGATCGAGTCCAGAATGATTTTGATAAGGTTTGAGACACTTAGTCTCTTTTAAGGAAGCTTGAGTTGGAAAAATCAACCGAATGTTGACTTATGTGTTAGAGGGCTCGGATGTGAGTTCCGATGGTTCGGTTAGCTTCAGGAGGTGATTCATGACTTAGGAGCGTGATCGGAATGGGTTTTGGAGGTCCGGAGTAGAATTAGGCTTGAATTAGCGCAGTTGATAGTTTGGCGATTTCCGGTTGGTAGGTGAGATTTTGAGCCGAGGGTCGGAATGGAATTCCGAGAGTTGCTGTAGCTTCGTTATGTCATTTGGGATGTGTGTGTAAAATTTCAGGTCATTTGGACATGGGTTGGTTGGGTTTTTGATCAAAAGCGTGTTTCGGAAGTTTTTAGAAAACTTAGGCTTAAATTCGATGTGAATTGGTAGGTCTGGTGTTGTTTGAGGTGTTTTGATGATTGGAACAAGTTTGAATGAGGTTTTAGGGTGTGTTGATGCTTTTGGTTGAGGTCCCGGGGGCCTCGGGTGAGTTTCGGGGTGGTCAATCGGACAATTTTCTAAGTTAAAAAGTTACAGATTTTCAGCTCAGGTGTTGCCGAACTTTGTTCTCTGCGATCGCGTAGGGTGCCATGTGATCGCATAGGAGGTTTTGAGGAGGCTGTCCATTTGTGCTTTGCGTTCGCGGAGTTTGGCATGCGATCGCATAGTTTGGGGAGGTTGGTCTTCGCGAACGCGTAGTGAGTGCTGCGTTCGCATAGAGTAAATTGGACCTGGGGGTCCTGGAGGGTTTTGTTCATTGCGAACGCGGAGGAGTGTCCGCGATCGCGTAGAGTTATATTGCGGAGCATAGCGATCGCATGGGTTTCATTGCGTTCGCATAGGGTTCATTCTGGGAGTTGAGTCTTTGTGCTTCGCGATCGCGAAGATTTTCCCGCGATCGCATAGAAGAAATTATGCCTGGGCAAAATGTTTTTAAAGGCATCTTTTTCGCGGATGTGAGTCTATTTTCAACCATTGCTGCTCATCTTGAGAGCTTTTTGAAGGGAATTGAAGAGGGATTCAAGGAGAATCGATTGGAGGTAAGATTTTTGAACCTAAAACGTGATTCTATTGTGAAATTAACCTAGAAATTCATGGAACTTAAGCTAAAAATGGAAGAAACTAGGGCTTGGGATTTTGAAATTTGATTTGGGAATTTGAAGGACCAATTGGGGTCGGATTTGGAAACTTTTTGTATGTATGAACTCGTGAAGAGATAAGGGACCCGTTGATGTAAAAATTTCTGAGTTTCATGAAGTGGGCCCGGGGCTCGGGTTTTGCTAATTTCGGGATTTTTGGTACTTTTCGATTGTTTTCGCTTGGGCTTTGTTCCCTTACCATATTGTGACGTATTCGTTCTGATTTTGGATAGATTCGACGCGCGTGGAGCCCGATTCGAGGGGCAAAGGCGTCGCGAGCTAGAGATTTCGCCGGTTCGAGGTGAGTAATGGTTGTAAATGATGCTCTGAGGGTTTGAAACCCCGGATTTGCACATCGTAGTGCTATGTTGAGGTGACTTGCATGCGATAGCGAGCGTGGGGTAGAGCACCGTTGGGGATTGTGACTTAGTCCATCCCGATAGATGATTTTACCACGTATTTGATTGAAATCAATTTGCTATCATCATCATTTGGGCTGAATGCCATATTTGGGTTCCGTGCCAATTATTTGAACCCTTCAGGGATTGTTGTTGATGTTTCCTCACTGTATTGATTTTATATTTGAACTCAGTCATGTTATTTCCACTGTTTTCAAAACTCAGCCATGTTTACTCTGTTTTAATACTCAAATGATATTTAAATGATGTTTTTGGTTGAGAAATACTGTTTTACTGTTGCTCGAGAGGCTTATGTGATTTTTGACTGAGTAAGGCCGAGGGCCTGTGTTGTGAGGATATTTTTGGGATCGGGTTGCACGCCGCAACGGTGATACATATCTTTGGGATTGGGCTGCACGCCGCAGCAGTGATACACTGATTTAATTATGAGGCCG